AACAACATGTCTCTACCCAGTTTGAAATGCAAGTTGGCATTGGTTGGAACTATTGAAGCAGTTGTTTGCATGCAGGAAATAGTCGGTGTCTCCCTGAGAAGTAGCAATTCCCTTTTTATCTGAGAGTGAATAAAAACTCTGCTAAAATCAGAATTTGGAACAAACCCTGGGTTCCAAAATATTGCAAATCTCTCAGCTTCTGCTGTTTTGTGGTCTTCTGTTTGTCTTTTAACTCTTTCTTCAAGAAGTTGTTTTAGTGTCAGTGGCTGTTGTTACTGCATCTTATATGAACCTGCAACAGTGTTGTTACAGCCCTGCTTAAGCATCTATTCCTTTTTTCCCAGAACTCTTCTGCACTGGAAAATAAACTTCAGTCTGCTACTTGGGCCTTTCTCAAGGAAATAACGCAACATTATTAGTACAGCATCAAAGTGATTGGTGTTGATCAGTCAGGTGTCAAGTGGAGATTAGGTTTATCATAAATCATTAACTTGCCTTTCGTGCACTAAACATGCATCTTGCTGCTGTACTTTTTATGAATTTATGCTTAATATTAAAACAAGTTGTTGCAACAGTAGTCTTAAAATGCTGTGGATATTGAGGCAACTCCTGCTACAACAATCCATTTTTCTTCTGGCTTTTATATTAAATAAGCTTAATAGCACTAATACTCTGTCTGATGTTTTAGTGTCTCTTACTGAGAGAAGGGATTGACACGTACTATCGATGCTATTTTCCTATGTACTCATTAGTATGATGACAGTTGTCCTAAATTCATGACTGGTGAGTTCCTATGAAGGAAGCCAGTATCAATACTACATTCCTTAGATGGATTGCTTAGTTTAAACTCTGATCTGTGGTAAGAAATATTCCTGCTTAGCAATATAGTAACAAGCTCATTTCTCTGGATTTTGAGTGTTTTGAGGTATGTTCCCTGTTCCTACCACATAAGGTAGAAAAGAGTATGAGCACAATAAGATTGATGCTCTGAAAGAAGCTGCTTTGGTATTCTAGCATCTACTGGAGTGATAAGGATTATATGAACTTACATTGCAGAACTAGGGAGAATTCTGTTAAACTGCCAAGTAGCAGTTTCAGAACAAACGTTCGACTCTGACTTTTCACACAGTGTGTAGCTGAGTTGCAGAACTGCTGCTGGACGGTGTTGGTGTTTGTGTGAGTTCAGGAGGAGGCAGCTGGCTCTAGTGTGCACTGCCTGAAGTTAACAGAGTTGTGTTATATACTTGCTTCAAAATCTCTTGGAGTGCTGCTTTGGATTCCCATTGTATTCCATGTAAGCTGAAACTTACCTCAAGTGGAATATTATTAATATCACGGTACAGTGAAATGCTTTTTCTGTGTGCTCAGTTACACATATACCTTTTAGTGGATGGCGATGAGAACTCCTGGTTATTGTGACCTATCTAGCTTTAAATGGTCGTGAGAATGTGTATGAGGAAAATGTAGCAATAAATGTCATTGTAGTATGTGAAGTTCACTGTGTAAATGTCAAGTACAGTTCAGTTATTTTAAGAATGACATTTCCTTTGAAAGTGATAGGGGAACGTTGATGAAATGGCTGTCAGCAGTGGGGTGAAAAGCGTCTTGCAGTTCTTACCCATTTGCTTGCCTGGTGTATCTCTACTAGTGGGTGTATTTGGCAGTTGAGTATAAAAGGAAGAATTGTCTGCTGTTTATAGGAGAAGTAAGAGTCATAGAAAAATAAAGCTGAAAAAAATGGTTTTCAAAACCGGGCCCAGTTACAACTGCATCCTTGTGACAAGTGTTATGAAAAAATGTTTCATGATGGAAATTCCATCTTTACCCAGTCCCTTTTAGATGAACTTGTCTGTGAAACTTTATTTCTTCCTTAGCCATAGGAGAAAATTTCAGATAGGATGCCCGTTACATGGGAAATAATTTGTAGTCTATTCTGGTCTCTATTCAAGTTGATTTTGTTTACAAATACGATTTTCTGGTGTTCATTCGTGGTCATTGAACTAAATATTGGCATATTGCTGTAGCTTATTCACGCTCTGCTTTTGAAAAGACCCTGGATTTACGGAGATGTATTTAAATGTAGTTGAAGCTCTTTTCTTACCAGGGAATTTTGTTTACATTTTGATAGTTAAAAATTAACTATGTTAGTCTCTGATGGTATTTATACTTCTTTTGACAGTAATCCAGTCCCTCATAGCACTGGTGAATGATCCACAGCCTGAGCATCCCCTTCGGGCTGACCTAGCTGAAGAATACTCTAAGGACCGTAAAAAATTCTGTAAGAACGCTGAAGAGTTTACAAAGAAATATGGTGAAAAGCGACCAGTGGACTAAAATCTGACACAATTGATGTCAGCAACGTATGGTAGAAGATCGGAGCAGTGCATTTGAGACACCCTGTAAAGCAGGACTCTATGGAAAATTGACAAGTGCCACCTTTCGGTGTTAACTTGTGGCTGTTACTAACTTTCTACAGTTTTCTTAATCAAAAGTGGGCTAGGTAACCTGTAAAGAAAGGATTAAAATTTAAGATGTTCTAGTTCTGCTTTCTTTGTTTAAAAATCACTGCTTCAATATACTTTAAAGTATGCTGTTTTCTTTTTCTTGTCAGAATTTATCAAAAATATCTTAGACTTATATTCTGCCCTTAAATTGAAAAGGTTGTGGCTGTCATTTCTTATTTTTCCTTGCAGTTCCCACTATCCGGAGTTCATTTAATTATTCATTGAATTTTATCCCCCTCCCTAAACTGATGTCTTAGAAAAAGTATCCCAGTTCTGGCAGAAAATGATTGAGTGTTTGGCAGTTTTGTTTACTTTTCTTTTTAAATGTTGCACTGTGCTTTGTGGGACTTGTTGCAAGTTCCCCCTAACTTCAGTTTGTAACATATTAAACAAAAAACGAAACAAACCCCACAAAAACAATCAGAAATAATGTCCAGGTCTTATGTAAATCTGGCTGATGTTACCACAAAATGTTTATTAAACGGGGAAACCCAAGTTTTTGTCTGCGTCATTGAATTAAAATATGGCTTATGTCCTGCTTTTGGAAAACGTTGGAAAAAAAAATTCTGCAGCAAATGAGTAGTGGAATGTGATTACAAACTTCTTTCAAGTCTATTCGTAATACCTATGCAGAGTAGCCAGGGAAATGTGCACAGAACAACATTGCAACCTGGTTAGAAGAGTTTCAGAAATTGGGGACCAAGAGGTACCAAAGTGATAAACTGTTTTTTGAGTTCAAAATTGGTATTTTGGAACTGTTAACTTTGAAATCAAGTCCTAAATCTGACAGCACTGCTGGGCATCTTGGAACGCTTTTCCATCAGACTGGGTAAGAAACATCTGTGTTTACGGGAGGGCACTGGTGCCACTTCCCATCCCAAGTGACGTACAGTTCTCACTGAAGATGGTATGAGACCAGGACTAAGCAATAACCTGTAACAGAGTGCGCCTCACTGCTACTGTTCCTGTGTTTTAAAAACACACGGGTTAGATGATTTAATGACTACTTCAGGTATCATTCGATCATTCTAACTTAATCAGGCAGCGCTGTTTTCCCGTTGCTCCAGGGCACACTGACGCATGCTGAAGGCAGCCCTTTCTGTTCAGAACCCAGCGTCCTCCACTGCGGCGCTCTCGCTTTTCCCTGCCTGCCTGTCTTTTTTCCCCAGTCTGAAGTCTGATCATAGCTCCACAGTCAAACTGCCATACAGTCAAACTGCCGCCTCCTCCCCGCCTGTCGAACTTAGGTATGTTACTGAGCAAACAGATTTATCTCCCCAAATCCATAGGTATCTGGGAGCACATATCATTTTGATGTGCGGGAAGCTGACTTTGCAGATCCCTCACACCCACATGGTTGTCTGTACTCCTGAATTCAGTTGTAACACAGCCTCTGCCTTTGCAACCTTTCCGAAGTAGTGTGTCGAGCAGTAGGTCTCTTTTGGTTTAAATGTCTTGTATATTTGCTATTTCTTCATTCGTCCCTCTCATCCGGCTTTCATTTCCGACTTAGTGTGAACAATGACAGCCCAGTACCTCACCTCTGTTGAAAGTAAATTTTTTTATAAGTTAGGGAGCTAAGAAATTTTATGTTTAAGTGTTCTTAGACAGATTCTTTGGCAGGTAAATAAAGTTAAACCACATTCACCTTATTTACGGAAACTTGCATTTCCTAAGTGTTTTCAGGCTTGTGAGAGCACTGTCTATTACCAAATTTTCACATCTTTGTGTCTTCATTTGCAGAAAGTTGGTACTGATTTTGTTTCATTCACGCTCACTTGGATTCATAATAAAATAATGCCAAATTATCTGTCAAACTGAAGTGTGTAAGTTCTGCATCACATGAGTCACTGTACCTTTTGATCATGTCTGTTGGCGTGGAAGCTTGCCATTATCTAAATTTTATTTAAAACAAAACTGTAGCACTAGCTTGCTGCCCTCGTTACTACTAAATAGTATACTTTCTGGTTGTAAGCCTCTCAGGTCAAAGACTGCGTTTTTCCAAATCGGTGTGACTTGGACGCTGTTGAGAGGGAGCAGGAAGGGCTGTGCAATTCAAGGAACTCCAGTCAAATCGTACAGGCCTACAGCAGCGCTGTACCAGCCGTTCGATTGCATCTGCAAAGGTCACATAGAAGACAGATAATGCTATCAGTTCTCTTGGTGTGTTCCTCATAGTTCAATTTCTAAACTACGAGATGTGTAACCTAAGTGATGGCTTTTGTTCGTAGGCAGCCCTCTGAAAAAAAGACAGATCAAATACTGTACTGTATGGCTGAAGTCTGAGGAGAAGAAAATCAAAAGTGCAAAGTCCTATGTTAACTCAGGAAATCAAGCTCTTGTTCTCTCTGGTTCCCTAAGCCATGCTGAATTCTAAACGTGCAGTTTAATATCCAAAATAAAACCAACGTACCGGTGAAACCACACCCAGGAGTACTGGTATAGGCTTTCTGCAATTCCATTCTGCTACCCTAATAAAAATTGCTCTCAAAGGTGTTGTGGCATGGTTTTATTTTCAGAGAGGCTTGGGGTTTAGACTTCTTCAGTATCCCGGCACAATGACATTTGTAGGTAGTGGTCTGAATGGGGTTTTAATTTGAACTCAGTGTTTTCTTTAAAGCTTTTGATAGAACCACTGACAACCTTCCTTTCTTAGCTCCCTGTTTTATGCAATTCAAAGGTTCCCTATTTAGAAGCCTTTAGCAGTTATTAATTTCTCCACTTAAAACTCCCTTGCATTTAAAATAAAATTTGGAGTTTAATGCTGTTCATTTTGAAATATAAAATTTGCAAAATATATCTTTTTGTTTGCAATACAGAACTAACTCGTGTTTTCAGTGTTCGGCTGGCAGAAAATACATACAACAGTCAGCAAGTGCGTAACGTCCTGATGGTTGTGATCAGAGCAAATTCATCGATTCGAACATGGAGCAATTTAAACGTTAAAAATAAGGGTAAAAAAATCCATCAAAATACGGTCACATTACATAAAAAGCTGAGCTCTGGTATTAAGTAACCAGTGTTGCTGTCAGGCTTAACCCTGATGTAAATAAAATATCATCGGTCACTAGATGGCACTCACGGGTCTGTGCTCTGGAGCTGCAGCTGCTTCCTGCAGGTCTGGCACCTCGGGGGTTTTTATTCTCTGTTATCACACAGCGGGAACTTCGCCAGCAGAGCCCGAGGGGACCGGCCCCAGAAACCGCGCGGGCCGGGACGGTACCTGCTGCTCCCGGCCGGGTGGGCAGCACTTCCAGGGTACGGTGGGTGGGGTTTGTTAGAAACAAACTTGTCATATATCAAATTAATTTCACGACAATAACTTAGGAAGGAACCTGGAAAAATATTTTCTAAAGCATCCTTGATGTTGGTTTTCATATTTGTACAGAACAAAAACTTCCTCAGATGTTTTACAGGGAAGGTCTGACGGGTCCCACAGACGACAGAAAGAGGCACCTTCCAGCACCCCGCGACTGGAGCAGGCAGGGGAGTGCGTTCCGTTTGCTCTCCAGCTGCCACTAAAACCAAAAGCTTCCTGAAGCATTACAGTAGAAAAAGGCCTGAGTTTATTTTTCACTTAAAAAAATGATGATCGTATTGAAATGTTTAAAAAAATGATTAACCAAAAATTATTATGCTAAATAGAGCACTGTTTATGCTAATTTTCTGTACAAATCAAAAATAATTTTCCCATGTGAAAGTTACGTGTGAGTGATAGGACTACAGTTAAGAACACAGTTAAATGTATCAGTATTATTAGGGCTTGCTGAAGTTTGAATGATTTGACGACAACAACAAGAATGGACAACTACAAGGACCTTTTCCACTCGAAGATTTGCTCAGAGTTGGTACGCAGCCTTCCCACACGTTTTTCATGAGAGGCAGTGGGCAGCGCAGGAACAGTTGCTGGTGAGCTCTCATATGCAGCAGTTACTGAAATAGCAGATGGGTCAACAGTTGCTGTTCTTGCAAAGTCATCCAAAAAAAAAAAGAAAAGCCTCTCTGAAAGGGCTGTGGCTGATGTTACTTTCCTATCCTGCCTCAATGCCAAGAGGCAACGTAACTGGGAAGAGCCGTGCTCGCCGCTGGCTGAGGCTGGAGGTGGCGTATGGCAGCAACACCACCACACTCAACCTGCGCCGCGACTGCTCTGAGCAGAGAGACGCTGTGAGGGTAACGTGCCCCAGTGCCCCCAACACTGATGAGCTGGTACGGGCAGAGGGGAAGGCACCACGCCAGAGTGCTTTAAGAAAACCAGATGCTGAAGGTTCCGAGGCCTGTGGGCAGCCTACACCGAGCCGTTGCTCCAAAGCAGCCCTTGCTCCCCAACACCTTTCATTCTTTGCGGGCAAGTCCAAAAAGAGAAATGATCAGAACCCTCGGGGTGCCATGTGCTCCCTGGCCTCACAGCAAAGCGTGTCTTGGTGCTGCTCACCATTGCCTGGGCAGGAACTGAGCCCTGGGAGGAGAGCTGGCCCTTGGCTGCCGCACTGCGCTGGAATGGTGTCCGAGGGGGTGATGTGGAAGAGGTTTGGTGCATTCAGAGCAGATGCTGTGGCCTAAAAACCGCCAGTCGGGGCACTGCCTGTAGCTGCTCCCAGCGTGTTGCTCTTCCATGAACATCCTGATGCTGTTCCCAGGCTGTTCCCAGCTCCTGTCAGCTGTACCAGGAGGTAACTGCACTGATAACAGTGGTCTGGCTTCCGGACATTAGCAACTGCCTGTCTTCAGAGTGGGAATAAATGTATGTACGTATGCTTATTTACTTAAAGATCTTTGAATGAACAAAGCTGAATGTTCCTGGTTTTGTAATGGCTCTGCAGCTCTGGCTTAATTAATGTCTGGAGTTCATGGAGGCGCTCCCAGGACTGTGAGAAATCATCTGGTCCTTCCCCACAGCCACCGACGGGCGGGACACTGGGGTACCCCGGGTGCACCATCAGCTCAATCGTCACTGTCCTGCTCTGCGGCGTCGGCTGCGCGGGCGCCCGGGAGGTGAGCTGCAGGATGGCGGTGTCGATGGCACTCCCGATGTTACTGACGGACATGTTCTTGCCCATGGTGCTCAAACCTATGTAAATGTCTGGCCACCTGTAGCCAGGGGAGGGAACACTGGTATTAATGCTAATGAGGTAGGTGAAAAAGAGTGTGTTATGTCCAGTGGATTAGGAATCAAAATTTACCTAAAACTTAAGATAGAAAAGGCGAGGGGGAGTGGGGGGGTGGTGTGTGTAAAATTTTTGACTATAAACAAAAGTAAAACCAGAACTACAAACTGCCAATGCTTTTTCTTTCCTAACTGAAACCAGGATACAATTTGAAGCAGCAGACCTTCAGTCTGAGAGAAGTCCCAGCACAGCCCCAGTACCAGCACTGCTGCTATTACTGTGTTTACGTGTACTGTGTCACAGCCCAAGGACTGTTGGGCACCTGTGAGTTCACATGTGCGTTTGGTTGGCACAAGAGGGAAGAGCAGAGCTAAACTGAGAAATGCCATGCTACCAAAATAACATACCATTGCTAGGCTAATTAAAACCTGAATAAATATCTCTATACAATAGCCCTCCGCTACATGGAAATGAGAAAAGTGACTGCAATAAAATGGAAACACCTTGCTAACAAAGCATTGTGCTAGAATGTATCAGAGCCATAACAAAGCCAAAACACTGGACCCAATGTTACTATTAAAGACATCACACTGAAGAGGACACCGGCTAGAGGGTGTTTCCTGTGTAGCTTCAACACAATCCTTTGTTCAAGTCTGGCTACAAACCTCAGTCCTAGTGCAGGAGGGCTGTGCAAGTGTGCGCGAGGGCAGAATGAGAAAGTTTTTGGAAGAAACCAAGGCTGGAGTCTTCACTTGCATGATAAGGAAGAGCCCAGCTGAACACTCAGCTCTTCTTCAGAAGAGTTTTCAGGACTTAGAAGGAAAAGCTTTAACTTTTTTTAACTTTTTTTAACTGTAAACTGCCTAAACTTGCCTCGTTGCTATGCGGTAAGCAGTCTTGTGCTCTCTAGTGTCATAAAGTAACTCCGGGGCTCAGTGGGGTTCCTCTCTGCACAGATGCTGAAACTGAGCTGCAGAATTGGGTTCCCTATGACTCCAGCTGACCACACTCTTCTCATTTTCCTGGGTTTCCTCGTGTTACGTTTCTTTTGTAAGAGTCTGCCCCTCCTCGCCCCTCGACGCCGGCAGAGGAGGCGGAGCGGCGGCGGGTGGAACCGCGCAGGTCCCGGGGGCGGTGCCGCCAGTTCCTCCCTGCGCCCCCGGAGCGGCGGAGCACCGGAGCGACGGCGGCTTCTCGGAGGTAGCTCGACCCCCCCCCCGCCCCTCTGCTACCGCGGGGAGCCCCGGAGCGTGCGGGGCTTCCACCAACTCTCCCGCACGGCCCCGCCGTGACAGCCCCGCGGGGAGGGGTCCTCTCTCCTGCTGAACCGCTCGGCGAGCGGCTGTGCCCGTCTCTGGCTCAGACACGGGCCGTTTGAGCACAGCCCGTGTGCTCGGGCAGGAAAGCGCACGGTGAAAATGCTTGCCTGCTGCTACTGCGCAGAACAACGAACAACCCCAAAAAATCCAGGAAAATAACTTTTTCGGTAGAATTAGGAAGTAGTGAAATCTGCCCCAAAGGACAGGTGACTGCAAGGGTCTCAAATGTCTTTAATTAATGAAACACTGTCTAAGCTTTTAGGAAAAGTATGTTATTGGGGGGAGTGCTGAGCTTTTGGGGTCTGGCCCCTGAGATGCAGGGCACTGGCAAGACTTTGCTTAGAGCAGTGATTACCTGCTGTGGCACTGCAAGCTCCCTGAGCTGCTTGCCTCCCCTTGACAACAAACATTTGTTTCTAATTCATCTCTTTCCCGCTACTTAACACCCTTTCTCCACTCTTCAGGGAGATTAAAAGTTATTTCTTAAAAACTTTCCCTAGATCATACTTTTAAAATTCCTGTGTTGATACAGCACTTCAGCTTCCTGCTGTCCCAGCTGCCAGGCTAACACAGCTTCACTAGAAAGGCTGAGAAACATGCCCTGAAAAGAACAATCTCTTTCAGGTGAGAAGTGAGTCATCTCTTCAAACAAAATTCCTTCTAAGCCCTAGTGCCCCCAGCACTTTTGTACTCCTTCTGAACCTCCTTGTAAGCCCCAAAGTGGAAAGAGAAAGGTGGTGTTTCATTCTGAAAGATGCTATCGGGAACTGATAAAATCTTAAAAGCTTTACTACAAGAAGGATGAGTAATGCCTGTCTTACCTTATTCCATGCCTTGTAAACACATCGACTGTGTTAAAAGAATCTTCTTCTACTCCCTGATAAAAGTCCATCAGGGATGGTGGAATCCAGTCACAGTTATGAAGGCCTGGCTCTATTGGGACACGTGTGTACTTAATCCCATATTCCTCTAACACCTCTGCAAATACGTGCCTGACCTCTGCAAGTAAAAACAAAGACACTAGTCAGGAGTTGGGTAACCAGCTCGTCATGTCCTCTGTGAGCCGTTAGCACAGAGATCCTTCCTTTCCATGTTTAAGAAAATATAGTCCCATTTGGTTTATCTCCTGCCGAAATGATTTTCTTTATTTGGATGGGAGTCCCCTTCTGTACTGGAAGTATTACTCCCTCAACATCTGCTATAGGTGCCTTGCCTTCCCTTCAGCACTGAGCATTTAGTCCAGCAGCCCCTTCTAAGTTAGTGACTCTGGTCCTAGAGTGCGCCAGACCTGACTGCAGAGTCAGGAACAAGTTCTTCATCAAGTCCCTGCACAGCCAGATTTTTGAGGGAAAGTTGCCAAGGGCAATGTCATCTGGAGGCAGCTGAGTGCTGCAGTGGGGAAGTCTGGATTGGTTTTTCTCACTTTTCCATCCTTGTACCACAATTACCTTATTCACAAAACAGGGACAAGAGATGCATACTCATCTCTGTAAAGCATGCTGAGACTTGCAGAGATTGGTATGGAAACACAACTGGCAGGATGGTGTTCTTGTAGCACCTGAAAGAGCTACCAGCTTTTGCAAACTCCAGCATTCCAGATTAAAATGGCCAGTCTGCTGCTGGCCCTGGTCTGCCTCCTTCAGTGTGGGCAGGAGCATGGCATTAGGATGATGAGGTGAAAGGAGTCATTGGGAGGAAAAGGAGTAGCCTGGACTATTTGTGCAGTTAATCCCCTTGCACTGCTACAGGAAGACCCAGGTCACCAAGCAGCCACTTTGGGCCCGAGCAGAACTGTCTCACCAGGGCCCAGGGGGGAACATTCAAACTGCAATTGCAGATCAAGTAGCTTACGGTGAGGTTTATTGCCCAAACAGGGAGCCATGGCAAGGCGAGTCCCCTCTGATCTCTCTCTCCGAGTCTCACCTGCTCAGCACCGGGAAGAAGAGGACTCCCTTCTTACCTGGCAGGACGTGGATGTGCTGGTGCCCATCCATGTGAGGAGGTAGGTGACCTGTCAGCTCATGGAACAGCTCCACCTGGGCCTTTAGCTCCTGCTTCACCTGCACAGCAGAGAAGGGTCAGAGCAAGACCTGTCAGCAGGCTGAGATCAGGAGAGCACAGGGGGCTGCCAGAGGCCTCGCTGGCCAGTGCTGGGGACCTGCCCCTGGGAGGCACAAAGTGCTGTGGTGTGAGTGGACACGCAGTGCTGCTGGGTTGCCCAGAGCGTCCCCTAGGTGTGGGTCTCTTTACGGTACTGGTTATGTGGATGGTGCCGATACTGGAATTTTCTGAAATACAGAGGACATTTGAATACCCATTTCCCTTTAAAATGAATGGGGAAATGGGTGCTCATATTCCATGGGCAGTTTTGATCACCTGAACACATTGATCCTTGCTCATGAGGCAAAACCAGTCTCCCTAGAGAACAAAAGCCTCTCACAAGCTGATGAAAAGCCCACTGCCTACTTAATACTTCTCTAGCATTTTCCCTTTGCTGATCTCTAGGTTCTTTGTAAATATCTGTTCCAATAACTCTTCTGCCCCCTCAGATAGTAGTTAACAGGACGTTAGTCTATGCAGGCACTGAAGCAGGGAGGAATGAGTTCCCAAAGACAGCAGAACCTTCAGCAGAATTAGGCCCAGGACCCAGAAAGCCGGTTCCAGCTGCCCAAGCAACACAGTAAAGATTCATCTCTAAGCTTACTCACAGCTGGGACCTGGGAAAGATCTTCAGCTGTTACACGCTGGCGTATGTGCAGGCTGATCCATATCAGGAAAGCAAGTTTCATGGCTGTATGGGGCTTTCTCCTACCTCTGACATATTCAGGAGACCTTTTGATAGAGCTGTTCTGAATCCCATTTTCCCATGGAAGAATCCATCTTGGTTGAGCAGAGTAGAGTTTGTTTTGAGCACCTCACATACAGGAGAGCCCTCGGAGAGGTTGGCATGCAGGCCTATTGGGATGTTGTATCTGTAACAGGAATGAAATCCCTGTTAAGCTTTGCACTTCTACCTTCCTTACTGTGGCCAAAGGGGGACATTTCAGTGAAAAATCTAGACTGAGCTAAAAAGTGGTGGTCTACTCACTGGAGTACATCTTCATATCTCTGCTCTTCTAGAAAGGAAAGTAGAACACTAAACAGAGCAGAATATCTCCAGGTAACAACCCTGTGCAGTCTGCCAAGGGCCAGTCTGTGAGATTCCCCCAACCCTGGTCCCACCCTGACTCACGTGGAGAGAGCAGCCACGAGGTATCTCAGGCTAAATGCTATAACTGCATGCTACTAGCAACTGCCCTGCAGTCACTAACAACTAACAGAAAAATCTGGACCTTGCAACCTTATTGTAAAGCACTTCATTAGCCCTTGCTAGGTATTCCTTGAGTTGTTCAAACTATTAAAGATGCTACATTTATGAGACATGTGAGTTTTACTTAAATTCTAAAGTTGCCCTTAAGTAGAATCCATATATAAACAGCACCCAAGGCAGCTGTTATGGCAACAGCATAGGCTACAAGTGTAAATACTGTCTGAGTTTAAGGGTTTCCTGGCTGCAGCTGAAATTGCCTGCAGTGGCCAAGTTTCTGTCTACTGGTGCATATGATCCCTCATGGAGTGACAAGGATAAGCTGTACAAAGTAGCATCTCTCGGGCACAAAGGATTACTGGAGGGAGGGCAGCAGTGGAAGTGTAGAACCTTGCTGAGGAATCACAAGGGTACAGTTTATTAACTAGTTGCACTCTGCAACATTAATAATAATAATTTAAAAAACAAAACAAAACAAAAACAACTATGGAGCTAGTGTATCTGCAGAGCTCCTCTCAGCCACAAGGCTTTGCAGAGTGCTGGTGTTTCCTGCTTGGTCTATGCTGTGGATTCCCCTACAATAAAAACAGGACCTGTGAGTGCTCAGATTTGTGCTGAGTTCCATTAGCACTTCTGGAAATCCTCAGAATCAGTGTCCAGAATTAAACTTTTTCCAAGACAACCCCTGGCCTCTGGCTGACTCAGTAAGTAAATGACAGCAGTGAAATGTTCCTTCTATGTTGCCCAGTCCGAGTCATGGTGAAGAGTTAATTTCAAGGCAACAAGTCTGTGATACTTTAAATCCTTCCTCGAACTTCTGCATGGAGCTGCTAAACCTGGGCGTGGTCTGTCCCTGTTACAGGCCCCTTACCACAGAGAGGAAAACAAAAGCAATCTTCATTTAGGTAAAGTGTGCAAAAAAACAGATCTTCCCCTTCTGTCTGCTGCCCTGAAGCTGACTAGTGAAGCACCAAGTTACTGGAGACAGAGGGGTCATGGGTAGATTGGACCAAGTCAGAGTCACTGAGCTCCTTCAGGTCCTAAGGCTTTGGCCCTTGCAGGATTTAAAGTCTTTTTTCCTGGTTCATCCATGTCTCGTGCTCCAGGCCAATGGTGTAGTGTGTTGCTAGGTACTGCTCCTTCTCAGAGACATAAATGTTATGAGTCAAGTTCTATGGACAGCTCAGTGAAACAAAAGGAGTCCATGTCTTTCCAGTCCAACGTGTAAGATTAGGGAGCTTGAACGTTTGCTTAATGGAGCAAAACAGCTTGTGGAGAGAAAGGTTATCTCTGGCTTTTCTGATCTGGTGATTTCTCTGCAGCAGGGCCTGATTGTATAATTGGTGAATAAATGTTCATCTGGGTTTCATACATGGGGGCTGAGCACATGATGTGCACACTAACTCCTTGCTAACACAATAACTGGAAGATGCCATCATTGGGAGTGGGGGCCCTTAAGCAGGCAGCTGATGGCAGGGCAGGAGGCAGTACAGGGGAGAAGGGATGCTGTGGCAGGAGGGCTTCCCCTCCATCCAGTGACCTGCTGTGTGCCATGCATGAGCGGAAAGGCAGAGCAGAGGGGGGAGTGTGTGGTTTTGTTTTGTTTTTTTTTAGAAGCCCATCCCAGATTCTTTATCATGTCTCTGGGAAGGTCTGACTGAATCAGCTGATAGCATTATTTGTACCACAGCCACTGCCTTCTGCAAGAAAAAGAATTCATGTGTTACCATGAATCAGCAGATGGGAGGCTTTTTTTGTTGAGCACTCTCCTTCTCATGTGTTGTGGGAGGGCAAGAAATGAACAGCTGAACCTCTCAGTGTTGTCTCCCAGGAGCATCAAATGAACTACCTCCACTTGTGCAATGCCTCAAATGCTGTGAGGGAGGCTATTTCCAGGAAAAGGCAAGCCCCTCCAACAGGTGTGGGACACCAAGGAGCCAAGCGCTGCACTGCGTAACATTAGAGCTGCTCCTCAGCCTGAGCTGAAGCCAGCCCCAGAGCTGGGGAATGTGCAGAATGTGGAAGTGCAGAGAGAGCCGGCCTTGTTCTTGCTGTAAGGGGACACTCTGGCTGTAACTTTAGAGCATGTTTCAGAGCTTTGGCTAACACCAGCTGAATACCTTAATAGTTTTCTCTAAGAGTTAGTCCTGGCTGGTTTGACAGACTGTCCATGCTGAGGCATCTAAAGAGGAACTGATAGTGTTTAACAGCTCTGGCATACAGGGACTGAAACAAAAACTCAAAACGCAGCACATGAGAAACTTGTTCAGAAACATTCATCTGTGGGAGATGCACAGAAGGAGGCATGCTGGGAAAGATGTAAGGATATAGGAAGGAGGACCATGCAGCAAGAACAGCAAGGTTCAGCTGCTAGCTAACATTTTCCTGTACCTAAATATGTGTTTCCTCTGGATGCAATGAGCCAGATGATGCCCCTATTCAGCACCAAGTGTGCTGCTGCCCCACATTCATTCCTAACACTCATGCTGTGTCAGGACTATCTGAAGTCCTAAGTGCAATGAGATGAAATCATGAGCAAAACTTAAAGCATTACAGTAATTAGCTGGGCTGTACCCTGGAAGACAGAGCTCTAGTCACGCTCTGTCCTGACCAGAGGCTTCGACTTTAAGACTGAACGAACAGGCTTTCCCACTGGCTACCACACACAGTGGACTAACTGGTAATCCTGAGTGCCTCTCACCACTGAAAAGTAGCTTCTGCAACCAAAGAGCAATGCCAAGACATGCTGTATTGTAAAAAAGGCAGGGAGAAAAGTCAAGTTATGGGAATATCATGGAAGGGCCCTTTTTTCAGAGGGCAGATGACTGTTTCTGCTGCACATAGTTTATCATTGCCCACATCTTTTAAAAAACTGTAAAGCATCTGCTATTTTACTGGCTGAAATATGGATGCAGAGACCAGCAGCTCAAGCAGCTTATATACCATGTGATGCCACACTGGGAACAGAGCTCAGCTGTTGTGGGTTTGGCTTCACACCCGCTCCTCTGCTTAAGTCCTTTATAGATGGGACAGGGTGAGCCCTGCTGGTCATTGCCAGTCAAGTCTAACTGCTAATCGTTCCACCTAAAATCCAGAATAAAAGGATTGGCATTAATCTTCAAGCAACAGTTTAGTTTCTGCAACAAAAGCACTGCAGTAACAGCTACTGTTGCCAAAACAAATGATGCCAGGAATCTGCTTGGTGTCTCTAAACTCATTTTGGTGGTTGTTTTAAGCAGCAATGACCCTTCCACAACCTGTTTGGAGAGGCCCAGGTCTAGGTGCAACTCTGTCCCACTGCCCTGGAGAATACATAGACTTGAAGCAGGATTTAGCACAAGGGTTCAGTTCACTCCTGATAAAACCAAAGAACAGTGTCTACAAATGTGTGCTCCTATAGCATAAGGAGCATGAGACTGGGCTGTCTGTGAGCTTGCTAAGGGGTTCAGGCCAGTAGCTTCTGAAGCCACTAAAATTAGTCCATTAGTGAGCTGTTTCCACTGAGAGAAAGTTGGCTGTTAAAGCCAGCCTGGTTCTGTGGTTCTCTGCTCAGCATCCCCTGTAGAGGGGGTGGGGAAGAGATACCCTTACAATAAATGCTACAAGGGTCAACAAGGAATTCAGTCTGGAAACATCTCTGAGTCAGCAAGCCCAGCCCAGTTATCAAATAGAGAGAAGAAATACAATCAGCTAAACTGCTTCCTTTTCAAGTAGTTGCTTCTTTTGCCACATGAGTGCTCTGAACAAATGTCTCTGCTGAGGCAATGGGCTTTTGTGCAGTTGAAATCCCTGTTCATTCATATCCTTAGCAGTAAAGGGTCCGTGGAGACTGTAACTATACTGAGTCACTCCTTAAAGTGCTCACCAGTTTTACACATTTCTGAGCTTGGGGGATGAGTGCCCTGGGTCCTGCCTGGCCATGGCACAGCCTCTGTGCAGTCCCTGCATTCCTGGGAGCAGATGCAGTGGGAATTATGTGATTTCCTGAGCACAGTCCCAACTGTCTTGCTGAAGGCTGTATGCTCTGGCATAAGCACGGCACTTACCCTTTGCCTTAATGGTTAAACAGATCCCACCTTCAACATCCTGTTTGTATCTTTATCCAGGAAATTACTGGCTCACCAGGTTTCAGCCCAAGTGTGACACAATTAAGAGCTTCATGTAAATATCTGTATCTAGAGATCCTGCTTCAGTAAACATCCAAGTGTCTGGAGTGAGAGAAAGCAAGGCTGTGCTTTGTGCGAAAAAGTACACCTCTTAGTTTCTCCATGTTGGCATTTGCATACTTCCTACCCCCTCTTTTTACCCTTCAGCAAACTGTAAGATCTAACTGTCTTTCATCAAATACCATCTTGTCTTGCTCCATTACTGCTAAGGACTTATTTCTGCTGGAAGAAACACTCCAAAGCCCCCGCAGTGTTAAGAACTGGTACTGTAACATAGCTTAGGGATGTGACTTTCTCTTTAATTACATCTTTGTATCAACTGAAGCTCCTGTGTCCCTGACCTTACATCAACAAAAAGTGCTGCTGTCAGTAAAATTCTAGGATTCTAGTTTAAAGCCTCAGATTGGGCCCCACCCCTAATCCAAGAACAGTTCAGCAGTGGAATTGTCTGCTATGTGATTAACAGTCAGATAAAAGGGTGATGAGAAAGCATGAGAGACTTCTAGATTAGTCAGATGTTGACTGGGAGGGTCAGAATTAAGTCACAATTTATACACACATTTTGCAATTAGTGTTGATGGGAAAGGAAGTGAAAACATAGACAGCAATTAAATGTGGTTTTGTTAGATTCTTCTGTTAAATGTACCCAGATGTTGTGGGGGCTTCAGCTTTTGTGTAGCTGATGTGCAACATTTAAACTGCAAAAAACTCATGAAGACTGACATTGTGTTCTAAAATGTATCATTCTTCATCATATATATGGATATAAGCATATATATATATATCATATATATGGGTATAATAATCTGGAAAAGGGTCCCAATAGTCACAACTGAGCTGGTTGACAAAGGGGAAAACATGGCAGCAAACAATCTCAGCTCTCTTTATTTCTGCTATCTCTATATTACTACAGAAAAATTAAGGGACCTGTTAATTTCAGGTAGCAAAATAACCCTTCCAATCTCTGGGAAAGTCCCTGGAATAATCACCAGGAAGACTGGCTGACTTGAAGATGGGGCTTGATGAGTAGAAAATTGAGATTATATGGATAACCAGGCAGTTGCAGTGAGTCTATGCCCCATAAAGAGAAAAGTTTTCAGTTACCGAAAAAAAAAAAAAAAAAACCAAAAAAAAACCCACAATGGAAGTCTGTTCTCCTGCCTGCTGCTCTGGTTATGTACTGCTCTAGCAGTTGGCATCAACAGGTTTGTCATTTGGTGATCAATCGGGCCTCTGCTGAAACTTCTCTTTTGCCTGAAGTGAGTGAGTCCCTTCTTTTAGACCAGTTGTGACACTGAATGAGAAAAGCCCAAGATTCAGAACCTAGATGTTAAGGAAGGTATATTATTTACTGCTTGGTTCTGCTGTTTTGCAATTAGTTTGTGTTAGAGCTAATACAAAGATCTGCTGACTACCACTGTATTTCTGCCAAGGCTTCTAATCAAAACACAGGACAACAGATGGTATACCCAGAAGCCTGCAGAATTATCGTGAAAATGAAGGGAAGAATGAAATTCCAGAGGACCTGTGTTCCTTTCTGAAGGATGCTGAGTCCTAACATTGCAGGGCAGCATAAGGTGCTTAAGAAGGACTATCCTGCAAGAAAAGTTGTCTTGTTACTAATTAGCTTTGCCTGTGTCCAATTAACTGAAAACCAGGTGAAGAGAGAGCTCAAGACCTGCAGTGACAAGCAAACAATGTCAGACAGTTAATTAAGAACCACCCAGATAATCTCCACAAGCCATAGAAACAGTCCAGCACTCTGACAATCCTGGCACTACGTGTTCAAAAGACCAAATACCACAACACTTGGAATACACCATGCGAAAGAACAAGCTACTTGCTTCAAGCGTCTTCTCTCAGCTGGTGATAGATCCAGTCTCCCTGTTCACACCACTGGTCAAGGCTGAAACGCCTGCTATGGAGCTAAGCATATATGCACACGTGTATAGATCTATTGTATATATATGGTACTTGCTTAGTGGTAGCGGGGTGTCTGTGGGGTAAGACAAACATGGGGAGAAAAAACAGAGCAGTGGTTCATCCCATAAAACACAAAGTGTCGCGAAGCCTCAATATTCACAGTGGGATGGGAGACAACACCAAGCAGGAGGGAAGAGGGAATAAGAGTGGCAAGGCAGTCAAGCAACAGGGGCTCTTTCTTGTTTTTGCACCACAAGACGAGGAGGATTCAGTGACATTTCTGGTAAGTCTGACCTATCTGTGTCTTAAAGAGTTTGGATGAACCTTTGCAATAGAGGAACGGATATCTTAGGGGTAACACAAGAATTTGTTTACATGCACAGGTGCCAATTAAGTGCACGTGTACTAGCAGCACCTGAAGCAGGGCTTGCATTAGAACATGACCAACCTTCTGCCGCAAACCTACAGATGCCTTCCCCATGCTTGGGTAGGGCAGAATACAGCTGCAGAGAGTTACACCAATGAGGAATTGCAGAACCTGGTCTGTTGATCTTCAGTACTGACACACGTTCCCAAAGTCACCTTGCTTATATTCTCAGAAACAGATATAAATCTACTTAATTCACATTTACAATTCAAAGCTACCTCCCCCCCAAAAAATTAAATTGTAGCAGCAGGTTGCAGCTTCTGCTATCACCTGCCCTCCAACCTGGCTTTTCATGCCCCTATCAGCTGTGAGCACAAGTGTCATGACCTGGATTCAAAGATGCTTTTTAAACCTCTGATTACATGGCCTACTTTCTGTCTATGGAAATGAGGCCAGGTGGATTCTATATTTAAAAGCCTGCTCAAGACCACAGCTAAAGTAGTTGTCATCATTACCAGAGTGCTGGCACTTAAAGGGTTTCACAGTGTCTCTGAGAGAAGTGGTGGCTTTATTTCTATGTTTCACATTTCATTTGTTTCTTCTACTAACAGGATTTTGGGTACCTCAAGAGTGTTGTGTCCTTCTGCCTCTCTCGTTATCATCCCAGAGGCAGTTCCTCTGTCAATGTTTGTGTGTAATTTCTAACCCTTTTAACAGAAGAACAGTTTGCCACTAACACCACACCCTGACTTTCCTATACCACCCAACACCAAAGCTACAAGCAATTTCCAAGTACCCCTAAAATCATAGCCAAACTGGGGAGAGATGCTCCAGAACACGGGCAGCGTGACTCTCATGAAACTGTCCCCTGCAGCAGCTGTGAAGCATAAGGTTTCAGTTCTTGTAGTACCAGTACAACTCTCTTGGTTTTCTGCTTTCCTAAATTGTTTCTCAACCCTGCTGCTCTCTCTTTCAGGACATACTCCTGCTTCCAAGTGCCTGCCCACACTGGAGCTGAAGCATTAGTTGGGTTTTACCTTCTAAATGGAAGTAATACTTCCTAATAAAGGATTTTCTGGGCTAGTCCCTAAGAATGACACACAGCATTTAATTTGCTAGTGAGCTAACTGTGCCAGCAAGCTTGGAAAAGTTTGTGGAGTAAAGGTGGTAGGTACAAAGTATTGTCCCTCTCTTTACACATGCAGTTTTTACAAACGGACTTATCAAACCTAGAATTAATTGAAATATTGAGGTTCTTTTTAAAAAGGTTTCTGGGATGGAAAACCCCAAGTTTTTCACTGCCCAGATTTATAACTTATCCCTCACAGAATCATACCATTCCCCAATTCTGCAGTGAACCTGGCTGACCCTGTGTTCAGCCTGGCTGAAATGCATCAAATTAAATGAGATTTAAAGATCTGTGCTTCTATGCTCCAACAGTTTTAGGGGTAGCAGCTTGATCAGGGTATATACCATGGACTTTCATTCTGATGGTGCATCTTTTAGAAGCATGGTCCAACAAACCCAAACTCTAGTAGATGAATTGTGTTAGTGGCTTTCTATCATGAGAGAAAAAAGGTGCAGTGGCTAATACCAGAGAAAGAGCCATTATGGGTATGGTTGGCAGGTCACTGGTTTTACTATGAGGAGTCTTAGTAAATATACTTGGGATCCAGTTTTCTTATACCAGTCTGGGCTATGATACAGTGTTTATACTGGGGCTACAAAATACTAAATTTTACAGGCTTGGCTTTCCATGGATAGTCTGTGGAGGCTGTCCACAGAGGAGCTAAAGAAAGTAGCTTACCTCCTTGCCAGCTTGGCTGCATCTGCTGCAGCACTTCCGTTGACTAAAAGGGACACGTTAGATACCGCACCAGCCAGGAAACAGTCCACGATGCCTTGGTTTCTCCGAGGACAATAGCCAAAGTCATCTCCAGTTACTATTAGCTTCACCTGAAGCATCCTTAGAGGTCATCCCTAGCAAAAAAAAAAAAAAGTCAAGGAGGGAAAATTAGAAGAATCAGCCGTCTGCAGATCACAGGCAAACAGGAAAAGACAGGCTCAACGGGGGCGAACCCAGTCGTGACTCAGCCCCTGACTAAACTCCTCCTGCTCCACCTCAGCCTGCCACTGTCTTGCAGCTCGCACAGTAGCCCGATTTGCATGCAGCCGCCTGGCTCGCACCACACCTGCCTGCTCCTGCAGTGCGAGCACCACAGCCTGCCGCTCTCTGTGGGAGCAAAGGCCGGCCGGCCTGCACTTTGCACTGCTGCAGACGAGGGGTGTGCAAAGGGTCAGGGACTTCGTGGGCTGATTTAATCGCCTGAGGGCGCGTCAGGGGTTCAAATTCTCCCTGCCGCACGCCCTCGCCCGCGGTGCCCGGTGAAGCGGGCATCGGTGCGAAGCGCCTGCGGCAGCCCCACGGCCGCGACGCCTCGCCATCCCCGCTTCCCCAGCACGGCCAGCGGGGTGCGGGCCGTGTCCGCGGGGAGAACCGGAGAGGCGCGGCCTCCGGCGGCGCGGTTCAGGCCCTGCCTTCCCGCTGGGGCGGAGGGGGCCCCGCCAGCCCCCCATCCCACCACCACCACGGGGCGGTGCGTACCTCCGCTCCCGTACGCAGGGCCGCGCCAGGTGCGGGCTGTCGCCGCTGCCCCGGGGGAGGGGGGGATGCCGGCCCCCCCTGACGCATCCCCTTTCCCCCGGTGCTGCCGAGCAGCCCCAGCCGGGAGCTCACCCGCGGCGAGCGGCTGCCCCGCCGCAGAGCCCGGCGCCTCCGCAGCGCTGCGAGCACCGGGGCGGCCGCTCCGCTCCGCTCCGCTCCGTCCTGTCCCGCCGGCGGCCCCTGGCGGCCGCGGCTCGCAGCGCGGCCCGGCGGTTCGGGTCAGGGCCGGGCGCCGGCGGGGCTGGAGCGGGCCGGGGCGGCGGGGAAGGGGGCTCGGCGGCCGCGGCTCTCGGCTATCGCCGCGCAAGGATGGGGCTCTCCCGCTCCAGACGAGGCTTGCGCCGGTAGCCGCAGGTGGGATAAGCCGTTCGGTTTGTGCTCCTTGGTTGCTTCAGGGCAAAATTAACCATCCCAACAATGCCATGAATATACAGGCCCTCAACCCGTGACCTTCGTAGTACCTGCGTGCCTCTTTCCCCCCCCACCGTGGGTTGCTGGCAGTCTGAACCGGGTGCGAGTTTAGAGCTGCAGGTCAGTAAACCCTGGTCAGGAAGTCCCCGCAGCTCTTGATGCTGGGCTGGGGAAGGGCAGGGAGAACAGGAGAGAGCCCCAGGAAGGGCAACTTCTAAGGAAGGTTCAGTGCTGGATGTAAGCCAGTTCTCCATCAGGCTGCATGTAAAATCTTGTTTGTCCTGGGATGGAACTGCTGCTTTTTCTTACTGCAGAAAAGCTATTCTTGATCAACCAGAATGAAAGTGAAAGCACGAAGTAGTTTAGAAATCTTGAGTAGGAGATACTATCAGCCTATGTTTTCCACCTGTAGAAGAAGTCCTATCAGAGTAGAACATACCCCTTCTTGGTCTGTAATGTTAGCCCCAAATATTCACCTGCTCCTGATGTTGCAGGAGAAGCAACAAACTGATGTTTGGAGAGAGTGATAGTTCAGAAAGTGCCAGAGTAACATGTCCGTGGATTTAGGGTAGCTGTCTTAGTGGTTGCTGTTAACCTGCCCTAGGAAGCAGGGAACACACTGGCACTGGTACCCGTGCATGGATGATGGTGATTTCCATGTCTAAACCTGTGTCAACATGGAGGTAAGAAGACTGAGGAAGAGAAGAAACAGCTGTCAGGCCAAGCACAGGCTTCTTGAAAGAGCAGCTGGGGGTGGAACAGGTTGGAAAAGGCTTCAAGAGTTGTTTCTGTGAGAATGAACTGACTATCCTGCTGCTTAATTCGTGGCTAAGATAAAGTCATTTGGACTAACTTAGCTCTCTTTCATTGCAACCACAACCCTGTTTTCAGTTCTGGGCAGTCCTTGCATGAAGAAATCAAAGCCTCCAGGTGTTCTCTTTCTGCAGAATTAAATTCCTAAATGACAGCCATCATACACAAGCCCCAATGTCAAGGAGATGATGTGCAAGCATAACCAGAGACTGACCATCTGTCTCAGCAAAGGAAGAACCATCAGTTTGTGGAGACAAAGCAGCACAGTTCTGCAGAGGGAATTCCACCGCTTTCATACCCAGAGCTGAGGTATGAAACACCTGTATGTGGGGGCACAACCACCTGCATACCCAGTGGTTCTCCATGTCTGTTTCCTCACAAGGAATTTGAAATCAGTGAATTGAAGTGGGTTGCACCCCGTTGATCTTTAGGCTCTCATCAATTACAGTCCACATAGCAAACTGCTACAGAACCTTGGGAGGGGAATGCCTCTGCCTCCCACCTCAGTACTCTGCAGCAGAAAAAATGTTTCCATTAACCTGAGGGCACTTTGAGGGACAGCCAAGATCTGGATACTTCTTTGTGAGAGTATTTTGATACTTTGAAGGAAGAAAATAAAAGAAGAATGTGTGGTAGCAATGTTATTTATGCACAAATTTGGTTCCTAGGCTGTGCCTGAAATGGGCTGCATGGAGACTTCTGCTGGATCTAGAGTGGACATCAGCTGTCACTTTGTAGAGCTTACTGTTCCCTGACATGTAAATGAACACTGACTACAGGAAATCATGGTGAGAGCGGGAGACAGCCTTCTGCCCCCTTCGTAATTCCTTTCTCATAAAAAAATTATCTGGAATGAAATTCCAAACAAATCACATCAACATGCTGTAGAGAACTTGCTAAATCTTCATTCTAGCAATTCCTGTGAGCATTTCCATCATTTGATATTTGTATGTCTCTGTTACAGGAAAGTTTTTCATGGTCTGTAAGAGTTTCCAGGGCCCTTGGTATTTCAGAGTAGATATTTGTGCAACTGCTATTTGCTTCCCCTTCTGGGAAATGAACCTCACAGCCTGCCCACATTCCCCCAAGGATTCACTTACTGATGAGGGCTATTACTATAACAGATGAAGTCACCACAACTCTGAAGTAATGTCATGAATCAAAACCAAATACTTCCTGCCTTTGCCAATGCAAATTCTGGGGTTTTCTGCCTCTTTCTCGCACAGTCAATGCTGCTTACCTCTGCACAGGTAAGAGGCACTACATAAGAATCTTAGACAAACCTTGGCTTCTCAGCCTTCTTAACCTTAGTATGTGTTTAATGCTGTTAAGGGTAACATCCTTCTTAAATATTGAATGCAGTTCCTGGAGGCTTTTCTTTTCTGATTTCATTCCTGTTTATCCAGCTCTCCTTCCCATGACTGAAAACAAAAACTCCCCAGCATGAAAATCTTGCCATTGTGCCATATCCCCCCTCAGATCCCAGCACAGCATTTCCTCTGTAGCCTGTGTACCCCAGCTGGCTGCTAAAATAGCCCTTGCAGCCAACCCCCACACAGTCCGGAGAAAAGTCTGTTACAAATTCAACCTGGAGCTGAAAGGCAAGGCTGGCTTCCTCTGGCTAGTCTCTCCTCTTCCACGAAGACATGAATGAGAATATTGGCCAATGTTTCTGGTAGTGCTGCATAAGCCACAACATGTACTAAGCACAGGCTGCACCTTCCAGCTTAACTGAAACAAAACACAGCCCTACCTTATCTTAGTTGAAGAAGCCAGCAAGAGCTCACTCCAACCTCAAGTGAATTTCTTTCTCTGAACTTCGAGTTATTCAGTAGCAGATTTAGAGGTTTTCTGTATTTCACAAAAGTATTTCCTAACAATTAATGCTTCCATCAAGCTGTCTGTTGACATAAAAAATGTATTTTCTTTTTCTTGTTCCCTTGGCTGCAGTGAGTTAGTTCATTTGGGATTACAATGGTAGCACAGTAGGACTTGGTTTGTCTTTTCCTTGCATGAAATTTTGTTGAAATTGTGAATTGTAAAAGACATTTGAATGAGACTAAGTAAAATCCTTTTAGTAAATGAAAGGATGTTACCATTTTCTTCTCTTTCCCAGCCTCAAAGATTTATAAAATGTTGGAAGTTCAGTGGCTTCTGTATAAATGCTTAACTGAAAATCTTTTCATCACTCCACCAAGGTTGGTTTTCAGAGGAAACAAGACATTTGTGTTCATGTTGTAGGTGCCTGTCTCGGTCCTCTCTTAGTAGCAGTGGGATGCCTTGGACAATTCCAACCCCTTTTGCAGCACAGGTGACGACCCCACAACAAGCAAGCCAATGCAGCATGTGGCTCGGAGGCTGCAGTACCCACAACGGTCTATAGCCCGGGTACAAAACTGTCTGGTCAGTTGGCCAGGGCAAGAGATGGAGTGTGCTGCGATGAAGCGTAGCACAGAAAGGAAAATAAATCGAGTGGGCTTTTGCAGAGGTTGAGGTAGGGGACATGCAAGAGTGCTGTAGGGGCATGCGTTGATAGCTGTAATTTTCAGCCTCTGAGCTGAGAGAATCTGAATAGAAGTGAAGAAAGGTAACTATGAGGGGAGCAGGACTGCAAGTGCCCAGATTTCCTAAAATTCACAGACATGACCTGCCTTGGGTGAGACAGAAAAGCAGGTTTCTTCAGCCCTTCGACAGACTCCCGTGCTGCGTGTGCCGGTGCGGTGAGGGCCCGCAGCCCGTCCCGCCGCCCCCGTCCGCACTACAGCTCCCGGCGTGCCTCGCGGCGGAGGTGGCCGTTGCGCTTGCGCAGCGCCCGCTCCCGCCCCAGCTGTTGGCGCGGTGCTGTCTGGGTAGGAGGCAGCAAGGCACGTGGGCGCCATTTTGTGGTGAGGGAGAGGTTTTCTCCTCTAACGTGGCTGGCAGTAATGGTAAAGAGGAGCCCGAAGAAGAGCAGCATGTTCCCTTTCTCCCGCCCACCCTGCTCCTGGGCAGCCCTCTAACTGTGCGGGCTTCCCTGCCAAAGTGGGTCTGACGGTGCCTGAGAGAGACTGGGAGCCCCTGGGGGGCTGGGCCAGAGCTCATGGCGGGGTGTGCAGCTGTGGGACAATGCAGGGGCCCTTATGGTCCTGTTGGCCTTTACGATGACACCCAGCTTAGAAGGTGACAAGACAGAGCAGTTCATGAGCAAATCTGAGTGTGCACAATGTCAGGGCATGCCAGATGGTTGGTTGTGCAAATCCCCAATAGGGAGAGCATGTAGCAGGTGGCTTCTGCCCAGAGGCAGCTCTTCTGAACCCTGGGCACGAGCACTGTTACCTGAGATGAAAGCAGCAAAGGGCGTTGCTCCAAATGGACTCAAAACTAATCATATAACACAACAAAATCCTGTGGTTAGTCCCCTTGCGACTTGCAGTCTCTTCCATACAGCTTTGTCCATCTGGCATCAAAAAGGGGTTTAAATCCCCAAATTCTAGGGTAATTCTGCTAAGAGTCGAAAGGTCTCCCTGCACAACATGTAAGACCAGCTGGGTGGTATACCTGTCATCTTCCCTCTCCCTTTTTCTGAAATGACCTGAATTTACACCAGCGCAAAATAACATCATTACCTGACAAGGTGCCTGATGCTAGCAAGGTTGCTGGAAGTAAAAGGCAAAATTTGCCATCATGACCTTATTATTAACTTGACGTTGAATTAAATGATAGCATACTGTTAAAGTATCAAGCTCATATCCTTCCTGATGCAAATAGCAGGCCTCTGGTCTTCAGTGATTCTATGTATTGCTCGATGATAGTGAATTTTAATCCACCTTCTAATTTTTCAGAATGTTATTTTTTCTCTGCTGTGTTTCTTTCAGAGTGGCTAATGTGGAGTAAAAATTAGCATTTGAATATGAACTGAGCTGCAGCATCTGTGATTT